ATGCCTTGGTCATTGTCTTCGGTCCATCCCCTCCGGGGTAGCTGGTGTTGGCCACTGTCGGCAGACAGGCTACTGGGCTATAAGGACCTTTGGTCTGACCCAGTACGGCCGTTCTTATGTTCTAAGCTCAGGGCTCAGGGTCGGGGGTCTCACTGGACCACCTTGATTTTCATGCAGACCTGCTCCTGGGTTCGCATGTGGCCTTTGGTGACCAGGCTGGCAGCTATCCTGCCCTAGATGGCCACTTTTCTGTGCCTAATGCGGAGGTCATGGATGTTGGAGGCCTCCCCTCAAACCTCGATGAGGTCCACGATATCCGCACTAGACCAGGCGGGAGCCCGGGGCCCTGGGCAGGCTCCTGGGAGCCAGGAAGAGGCGGAGGGTTGGGTGGCAGTGGGTGGCTGGCTCATGCCGTGCCAGGTGCAGGGTCTGCTGGCTGGGTGCTCGCAGGCTTGCACCTGGCACAAGCACCATAGCCAGACTGTGGCTCTTGAAGGGCTCCGGGACTGGAAGGGGGGCAGAAGAGTTTCCCTGGTTTGGCCCAGAGTAGCCACCAGGGCAAGCTGGGAAGGGCTAGCCTCCCACTAGTTCGAATTAAGTGGCTACACAGCCCTTAATTCGAACTACTTAATTCGAACTAGGCGTTAGTCCTCGTAGAATGAGGTTTACCTAGTTCTAATTAAGTGCTCCGCTAGTTCGAATTAAGTTCGAACTAGCGGTTTGTATGTGTAGCGCCTATGAAAGTTAATTCGAACTAACAACCATTAGTTCGAATTAACTTTGTAGTGTTGACATACCCTTATTTCATAGTCACTGTAATATTAAAGTTTCCTTTTGAAGAATTGAGGTAACCTAATGAAATATCTTGTTCCCTTTTCTAGGTTCAAGTGTTGGACTTTTTATATATGCAGCATTACAAAGAGAACTTATTGAGCTATATGGAGTGGATGGATGTTTGCTAATAGTGGGTGCATTATCTCTAAATATACTACCATGTGGCAGTCTAATGAGACCTTTGAAGTTATCTGCTTTACCTTTGCCAGAGAAGTCAGGCGTAGAAAAAGTTTCAGATCAATACTTGATTTTCCAGAAGAAAGAACTTGTTGAAGAAAATATAAGCATCCTTGAAAAGGGCTACAATGAAGAAAAATGTGTGAATAATATGTCTTGTCATGATTGCAAACAGGAGAGCATTTTAAATAAGAATGGATTAATATCATCAACATATACAAAAGAGACAGGCATTTATAAACAGAAAGTTGTAGAACAAACATACTTTTGCAAACAGCTTGCCAAGAAGAAGTGGCAACTGTATTTAAACTACTGGGAAGAAACACTGATTCTTTTTAAAAACAAAGTATTCTTATCACTTTTTATTGCAATCTTACTTTTTGACATTGGTGGATTTCCCCCTTCACTGCTTATGGAAGATGTAGCAAGAAGTTCAAACATTAGTGAAGAAGAATATGTTATGCCTCTTATCTCCATTTTAGGGATTATGACTGCAATTGGCAAACTTGTTTTAGGAGTACTGGCTGATTTTAAATGGATTAATACTTTATACCTGTATGTAATTACATTAATAATGTCTGGAGTGGCCTTGTTTGCAGTTCCATTTGCCAAAACTTACATTGTATTTGCAATACTTTCCGGAATTTTAGGTTTTCTTACAGGGAATTGGTCAATTTTCCCATATGTAACCACAAAGATTGTGGGAATTGAGAAATTGGCACACGCATATGGAATATTAATGTTCTTTGCTGGACTTGGAAATAGCCTTGGACCACCAGTTGTTGGTAAGATGTTGTGTTAAGTGATGTCAGATTGTAATTTTCATGAATTTCTCAGGCCCAAATTATATACATTTATATGGAAGTCGGTTCTAGTTAGTTACAATGATAGTAGAATGATAAAATTAAAGAAAGTTTAGAAAGTTGGAGGTTTCCCTTTATCTGACCAGATTACTGAAAGGGGAATATGATGGAAAAACATGACAAAATACTGCCTGCTGTTCTTAACAGTTTTTAGATTATATTTGTTACTTTTGCATGCTTTCTGGTTTAGTATGTAATGATACATTTTGTTCTTCAAATACGATTTTCAATATATTTCTGCTGTATGTTCAGTAATTGTGTATATTTGAGCTCGCACTTTTTTTTTTCTTTTCAGGTTGGTTTTATGATTGGACACAGACTTACGACATTGCATTCTGCTTTAGTGGGCTTTGTGTTCTGCTTGGTGGACTTCTTCTGTTGGTGGCAGCCCTGCCATGCTGGGAAAATTGTAATGACCAGAATATAAAACCATCTCCAAATACTTACTCCTACACAGTTGCATCTAGTGCTTAAATGGCAACTGAAAAACACTTCAATGCTTTTTTATACTATACAGCAAAATATTTTAGTATTTTTCTACTTTATTTATGAAATACAAAAATTATTTTAGAAATAGTTGGGAAAAATCCAATCATGTTTGATATTCTTTTTGTTTTATTTTTTAAAATAGTGGTCTTGCTTTTTCTACTGTTAGTGGGGTCTGTCTATGCTGCAATAAGAAACTTGCAGCACTGAGTCTTGGAGCCTGGGTCAGCTGGCTCAGGCTGGGGCTGCAGGCCTAAATATTACATTGTAAACATTTTTGGGAGTAGGTTGGAGTCTAGGCCCTTGGACCCTCCCCAAGTTGTGGGGTTTCAGAGCCCGGGCTTAATCTGAGCCTGAACGTCCGTCTGCATCGCAAATGTTAGCCCTGCAGCCTAAGCCTCGCTAGCCTGTGTCAGCTGGCCTTGGCTAGCCCCACTTGTGCCAAGACTGCCCTATTGTACATGTACTCTGTGTCTTCAGCCTCTATTAACTGTACCTTCCTTTCACCCAGTAGTGGGGATCATCTGCTGTATGATCAGTTATATATTTTAGTTTTTATGAAAACAAATCTTTGTAGAAATATGGAATAAATTAAAAGTTTTTTTCTTTATTGAAAAGGATGGCACAAATGACTCCCTTCAGAGGTTTCCAATAGCTGTACAATGAGAGGCTTAAAAAAAAAAAGGGAAAATATCCCTTATTTTCTGGTATGTAGTACATTGGTGAACTATTGGCTTTATTTTCCTCAAGATCAGCGTCTAGACTGGCGCTTTTTCCGGCAAAGCTTCGTGCCGAAAAAAAGTGGCAGCCATTTTTATGCTAAGGAAGTGGGGGAGATTTAAATCCCCGCTTCATTAGCAATTGCGATACGCCTAATTTACATCCCTTTTACGAAAAAGGGATGTAGTCTAGACGTAGCCCTATTGTATAACTGAAGTAAACCTTGTGGTAAACCTTGTCAACATTCTGAACACCACTGCAAAGTAAGATGCTATGCTCCAAATATTTACAGCACGCGTTTTGAAGTTTGTTGAAAAATTGTTGAACCAAAATCTTTCAAACCAAAGGAATAAATGTGCTTGTTGAGTAAAAGTTGAAGGTAGTTTCATTTATGGAGGGATAAGGGATATTTTGGAAAAGGCATTATTTTCCGCAAGAAACATTGCTAACCTGTTACATGAAGACTGTTTTTTTTCTTTCTGTCATGGTTACCAGGCGAACTATACTTTAGACTCTTCTTAGTCCTTCTTAGGAGAGGCCCTTTAGGTGACAGGCCCGACTCCCTGTACCTTTCTGAGCAGAACAACGTGGTCCAAATCACTCTGGAAGTAGGTCCTTAGGTGTCTGCTCTCCTTCTGCCTGTTTAACAACCATGTTAACACAACAGGCCTACCTAGATTTGCCACTTGTTGTAAGCCCTTTCCCTCTGGGGCTATGTCTACACTGGCGGCTTCTTGCGCAAGAACATCTTGCGCAAGGGTTCTTGTGCAAGAAGTCTTGCACAAGAAAATGTCCACACTGCCATGTGCGAACTGTGTTTTTGCACAAGAGTGCCCATGGCAGTGTGGACACTCTCTTGCACAAGGAAGCTCTGGTGGCCATTTTAGCCATAGGGCTTTCTTGTGCAAGAAATCCCTGTCGAGCATTCACACTGCCCTCTTGGGCAAGAGCTCCTGCGCAAGAGGGCTTACACCTGTTGAAAAAGAGCGAAGCTCTTCTACAAGAAGCCCTCTCTTACCACGCCGTACTGTAAATTTCTTTGCACAAGAGTGGGCGGGCAATGTGGATGCTCTGCGGATTCTTGTGCAAGAACGGCCATACTTGCACAAGAAGCTGCGAATGTAGACATAGCATGGAGGGGGAGGGATTGTGACCAACAATTTGATTAGAGTGACTCAAAAATAGGTCTTCAAAGCCAAGTTATTTATTCACTGGAAGGTACAATGTATCTAGCACAAAGGGGAAAACCAGCAAAAGGCCTGGCTCTTAGGGCACATCTAAACCACATTCCTCTTTTGAAAGAGGAATGTAAATGAAGCCGATTGAAATTCAAATGAAGCATGGATTTACAAATCTTGCACTTCATTTGCATAGTTGCGTGAGCGCTAGTTCAAAAAAGTGTTTTTCGAAAAAGAAAAGAAACTAGTCTAGATGGGGTTCTTTGAGGGGAAAAAACCCCCCTTTTTCTAAAGAACCCATATTCCTGAAAAAATGAGGTGTATGGGTTCTTTCAAAAAAGGGTTTTTTCCCCCAAAAGAACCCTGCCTAGACTGCGTTTTCTTTTTTGAAAAATCCTTTTTCAAAAAAGCGCTCTCACGCAATTATGCAAATTAAGTGCGAGATTTGTAAACCCATGCTTCATTTAAATTTTCGTTTGGCCTCATTTACATTCCTCTTTTGAAAGAGGAATGTAGTTTAGACATAGACTTACTCATACTTATCTTTCCTTGCTAGCTTCTGTACATTCTTTTCAGCCCAGCTTCTCTGGTGAGGGAGAAACACTGTCCACCTCAAAACCTCTGTCTTTGTGTTCCCTGGTTAGCATGGTCAACTTTTTGCTGGCACTTCCTTGGGCAGCTTCTGCCCACTCCCTAAATCCCGATAATGGGGTCCTTTACTCTATCTCGTTATCTCTAGTGTTGTCTTTGACTGTATCTCGTAACAGTTTACATCATTTGAGGGACATCCCTTTGAATATAGAGCAATAGCAGTATCATTCATTATTTTTAGCAGAGGGTATAAACCTTATCCAGAACTACTACTACTTTTGTTAGCTGGTGTAGAGCAGCAACTACAATCCCAGGACTCGTACACCTTAAAGAATACATTTTGATGCAACATTGCCTCATTTTAAATCTTATTTTTTCCTCCCTATACACCTACTTTCTGACAATTTAATAGCCTCCGCTTCATGATATGAAAATATAGTACTCGTTGTTCTGTTATAAAAGTTAAAACCATAATGGTAAGCAGTATAATACATCTCCTTATCAGAAATGGAAGCTATTATTAGGCAATTTGTCCGAACAAGACATTGGGACATTGTAGTCCCTGATGTAACTTCATGCTGAAGAGAGCCATAGGGCCAGAACCTCACCGGATACAAAATCTGCATAGTAGCATTGATTTCAATGGAATAACATTGATTTACATCAGCCAAGGAGCTTGCTCATAGCCAGTATGAATCTAATCCTTTTCAGTGAGTATGATATAGTGCAAGAGAGGAATAAGCAGCATTTATTACAGTTGCATAATTTTTCTTTTAGTTCTATATTTTTGGTAACTCTTTTCAAATATTAGATTTCTTCAGGACATTAATTCTGTGGTGTGAGCTGCCAAGTGTTGGGATCTACTAGGTAGGTTAGGTAATGAAATTCAAGCATGGGATGTTGTGAACCATGCCAGTGTGAAAACTATTTTCCCTTTTCTTCATAGATGTGATTGGAAAATTTTACATAAACATTGTTTTCATAAAATAAAGTTGTTTAGAGTTGATGGTTTTTGGTAAAATTGTATCCATGATGATGATTTTTGTTTAAACAAAAAGCTTTCATGTTTTTTGATTTTGGGTTTTGTTTCAAAATGACTTAATTATGAAATGCTTTGTCAAGGGTGATACATGGTTCATTCCACCCCTTTCCTTGAAAGCATTAAGGTAGCTGGGAAGGGGAAAACTAGCCTCACAGGGTGCACCTGGGAGAGAACAAAGTGGGTGAGGCAAGCCCTATTACAAGATAGAGCCTAGCTGTAGAGGAACAGGCTGAGTTGGTTTAAAAGCTAGAAGTTGAGGCAAGAAAGGGCTATAATATGAGGCCTGCTGTTGTGCACCAGCAGTGGAAAGAAGGAAACAAGGGAGAGAATAGAAGCCCTGGAGCTGTGCCCGTGGGTAAAGTGACCCGAGAAGAGGCTGGAGAAAGTCTGATGTAAGTGAAGTGACAGTGCAGATGTTTGTTGCAAGGTCCCTGGGCTGGAACTCAGCCTAGGTTCCCCTACTATCTGCTGCAGACTACCCGCTAAGTGGGCAGTAGGGCAGAAGACTGCCTGGGATAGTCATCCAGTAAGACTTTGGAACCCTGAAGGTAAGGACAATGATCTGTCTGGAGAGCCAAGCCATGGAAGGAGAGTATATTGAGACTGCCACCTTCAGATCTGTGAGATTATGGTTGGGTAAACAGAAATGTTCTGCCACACAACCACATGCCACACAACCACATCATAAGCCTCCAGGAACCCGACCCTGCAACCAGAAAAGATGGCAACTCTGCCCACATATCTACACTGACGAATTCATCACTGGAGCAAACAACACTAGCCACAAAATCAAAGGGTCATTTGACTGCTCATCTAATAATTTGATCTATGCCATCAAATGCCAACAGTGCCCCTCTACTATGTATATCGGTCAAACTGGACGTTCTCTACGTGAAAGAATCAATGGACACAAATTGGATATATGTAAAGAAAATACTCAGAAGCCAGTGGCAGAACATTTCTGTTTACCTAACCATAATCTCACTGATCTGAAGGTGGAGGTCTTGTCACAGGCCAGTTCCTCAAACCAAATCCATAGGGAAAGCTTGGAATTACAATACATATGCAAATTCAATTCAATTAATTATGGACTTAATCAAGATATGGGGTGGTGGAACCTTTATCAATGAAGGTGCTAACTACTTTCTGAATGGTATCCTTCCTGTCTTATCCATCCACTGACTTTGATCTTTACTCAGGGTTAGCACCCTTTCGCCTGATACTTTATGCATAGAGGTAGGGGGTGGGCAACAAAACATCTTTCTCCCCCCCCCTCCCCTTCCCCCTTTTCCTTCTTCTATATATTTCAAGTTTTCCTTATCCTCTAAGCATACCTCCAGTCATCTGAAGAAGTGGGCTGTGCCCACAAAAGCTCATGATACCATCTGTATATTTTGTTAGTCTATAAAGTGCTACAGACTATTTGCTTGCTGTTTTTTAAGGTTTTACTGTACTATTAAAAAATCCTGGGTTTTTTTCAGTTAGTTTGTTTAAACTGCTTGAACTTTCACTGAACAGGATTGTTGTTAGCACACAACCTTATGGATAGGAAGATTGAACTAATGTCTCTTCAGTGATGTAGTAAATGTAATGAAGTCTTCCAAATTGGAAGATACCTTCTGTGATGGTGTCTAATGTCAAGAAAAAAGCAACAATCCCAATTCTAGGCAGGCATCTTCTGGATAGAAGCAAACTCTGAAGCAGAGCACAACTTTTCTGAATGGATCTGTCCTTGCCAAACAGCCTTTAAAGCAGAAAATAAATACTTAGCAAATTATTCTCTGCAACATATTTTGTTGACACTCTCTATATGAATAATGATTGTTGCTTAAATCAGTCAAGTTACCAGTGAGTCAGAGAGTAGAATATTTATCATCTTATTAGCAGATAATATTTCAGTGACTTGTTTATTTTTGTCAGTCTGCCAAGCTTTTAGTATTTAAATCTCTGCAGTGCTGTAGTTAATTGATAATTTTTATGGTTTACTGCAAAAACATATAGGCTACGTCTAGACTGGCATGATTTTCCGGAAATGCTTTTAACAGAAAAGTTTTCTGTTAAAAGCATTTTCGGAAAAGAGCGTCTAGATTGGCACGGACGCTTTTCTGCAAAAGCACTTATTATTATATCCACAAATTATTTTAAGAGGGATAAGGGATCTTTTGGAAAAGGCTTTATTTTCCGAAAGATCCGCGTCTATACTGGCGCTTTTTTCTGGGAAAGCTCCGTGCCGAAAAACAGCGGCAGCCATTTTTATGCTAAAGAAGCGGGGGATATTTAAATCCCTGCTTCATTAGCAATTGCGATACATATAATTTGCATCCCTTTTACGAAAAAGGGGTGCAATCTAGACATAGCCAATGAGTTTTAAATGTTGGCTGATGCAACTGAAACAGCTTAGATAAGTAGTTGCTGAGAAACACAGCAATCTTTTTTTCATTTTTATGCAGTGCTCTTGCTATGAACCTCTTTTATTAGATTCGTGCCCTGTTACAACAGTGATTGTAAAGTTTCTTACTAGTTTTTGCATCTCTTCTGTTAGGGTGCATCTACAC